GCCCACGTTCCACCGATACGTAATTGATTGGCATCTTGGGCCTTAGGCCTCACGCACCCTTTTACGAGCCCCTGATTACCCGAATAATTTGTTGAATTACTTTTGGAATTTTTACTTATTCATTTATTTTCATTTTTTTTAGTCGTAATGACTTTAAACAAAAATTGAAATGTTCATTTATTGTTTGAAAAATTGAAAATTCGTGGAGAATTTCGTTTTAATTTCGGAATTTCAGTGAATTTATGAGGAATAATTACAAAATTCTAAGTGTTCGAGAAAATTTATTTATTTTATTATGATCTCGAGGCCTGATTGCAACATAATTCAGTCATGCATGAACCGTCAGACGTGAGATGAAATGAAAAAATTCTTGACCTGAAAAATGAGTTCTCAATCAGGTAAAAATTTCGAAAAGAACTGATGAATATTTTCAATAATTACGAACCAATATCCCCTGCATTACGATTTCCCATTCCTCAATCCCAGAGTAATCCAACAGTAATTACCCGTGTCATCAACTGAGATCCAAGAATTCACAATCTCTGCAGATTTACCATTTTGATAAAAAACCGTCATTTGACACTCGAAGGTCACACGTGTAAACTGAAAAAAAAAAAAAATTGATAATTTTTTTTTTCAACTTAAACAGCGAAGCGATGATTTATATTTACGTAAATAACAGGTGTTTAATTAATCAGCTGCATCACGTCATCGTCGACGTCACGAGATCGTCGGCATTTCTACGGATTTTGTGGATGACTCGTAATTTTCCACGAGCATGAGAAAAATTTATCGATAAATGTCAATGTCAATTGAACTGGAGATTGGCGTGAGGTGACTCTGACCGGAATGATAAGAAACCAGACAATTGTAATTGAAATGAACGAATTCCAGAAGTAAGAAGTCAATGCTCTTGGCGATGATAATTGGGTATCAAGAGTCCCTGGGGCTCGACCGAATCAATCGGTCAATGAAACGAAAGAACAGATAAATTTCGGATATTATCGTGATATAAAAAAGTGGAATTTACGGATTTATTTCACCTAATCTCCGGCCAAATGATAAGATTTCCGTTGTAATTATGTGATCACTCCAATTAATTTTTGCGTCAGGAGAAATGATAATTTTTTCGAGGGAAACGAAAAAATCAGCGGAACGTCAATTTTTCTCAGTCTCGACACCAATGAAGTGATTTTTAATTGAACGATCTAATTACCTCCGGCGATAAAAATTGTGCAAATGTATTTTTTCATAAATCAATCAACCTCCGACGACTTCCAAGTGGTCAAGAAGATTGAGAACACCCGGGGGCATTAAATAAACTCTTGACGCATGTCTCACGTTAACAAGAACAGCAAAATCAGCTCTTCCCTCTCAAATTTTCACATGACCATTCATATTTATTCACAACCTCTCGAGAATAACTCCTGAAAATGAATTTCGTCACAAGTTGCCCCGCGCAGGTGATTTTGAGCTGTCGCCAGGGTTCGTCTCGTGGTTAACGAAAATAAATTCATGTCAATTAATGAAATTCACGAGATGTATTTTTATTGAATATTTTATTGAATCCTGACGTTTAGAGGAAAATAATAATATACAGGAAAATATAAATACAGGAAAAAATAATCTCCACCTGAAATAATACTGAGAAGAAAATTAATTTTTCGATGTACTAGTTGTTATTTATTTATTTTTCTCCAGAATCCTCGTCGAGACGACTCAGCCAGCCCACGTGATCGTGATGATTGCACTATTGTCATTGATATCAGCACTCATCCCTACCTCAGATAAAATCACCAACGGCGGACCTCCAGGATCGAGAATCATGTCCTTCATGTACCTAATGTTCGTCGCCATGCATTTTGGATCGCAAATATGGATGACATTTGTTTCTGGTAACTATTGATTGATTAATCATGGAATTTTCAATGATCCCTTTATGGAAAACACGTGTTATTCCTCCAGGTCTCTCCCTGTACTTCGCCCTTCCCCGCCACAACTTCGGCGAAGTCCAGCGGGTCCTATTTCCCCGATACTTCACGATAAACGCCTGCCTGAGTCTCACAACTCTTCTGATCTTCATAAAGCACCACCCAACGCACACCTGGGACTCAGAAATTGCTATTCAAATCTTTGGCATGACGATGGCCTTCTTCGTGGAGCTCCTGATCCGCCTGTACATGACTCCACCTCTTCTCCAGCTGATGGTGCAGAAAAATCTGATCGAACGCGCTGCAGGGGTGGGCAATGAAGTCGGGACTCACCAGCCACGTGCACTAAAACACTGTCCCCATTATTTAAAAATTCATGGAGCCTTCCGCAAGATTCACGTCACCATCGCCATGGGCAACATGACCACCATGTGCTGTACTGTTCTCCATCTCCATTACATCTCGAGTAAATTATGTGTTCTTTAGAAAAAAACTTGGAAAAAAATTATTTGATGATTGAATTCAGTCCTGGAGCAGCGAAAAATTAGTTTGATGACGATTACTTGAATTAATTTGATTATTTCGGAAGATTTCACGATTCTTCGCGATTTTAATTCACTGTAGAGTGAATTTAAACAAATCAGCTTTATCAGGGTAATTTTTTCGCTCGGGGTTAAATGAATTGAAATGATTTTACTGTCTTTTGCAGAACGCCTCAGAACGTAGGAGAGATAGCGAAAATCCTTTTTGATCTGGAGAACATGGTCGGCAAATGGTTTTCAGTGGAATTTCTGTTATCTCTGCCACATTCTGAGGTACAGTCCAATTGAGATTGTGTCGAAATTAATTCAAATGATTTTCTCCTTTCACTACTGCACTGGATGTGAATTATTTCCATTATGTAAATAGAGGTCCATCGAACCTCGATGACTCTGCAGAGCAAGATAATTGATGAAGAATTGGAATTATTGGGGTTTTTGTTGAGATCTGTTGAGTTTTCGCCTTAAATTATTGAAAGAAAAACTGGAAAAATTAATGAAAGGAAATTATTACTTGGACTCCTATTGGATTCCGTTTGGAGTTTTTTTTTCTGGGACTAGTCATTTCTTTATTGCCTACCATTATCCATTTGTTGGAGAATCTCTAACACTGATTGAAAAACAATCCAAATCGATTTTAATTGATAAAAAAATTCATGAGAAAGGAAGTAATTCCAGAACTTTTACCATAAATTCATATCTAGTCCCAGAGGATAATTGATAATTAAATGAGGTATTGATTATTGATACAGGAACAGATCCTTAGCCTGTCGTCGCCTTGTCTCAGAGCTTCTTGCAGGATGATTGATAATCTTGCATCATTTTATTTCAAGTACTCTCAGTATTATCTACTGAAAACGAACGCTTATCAACGCTCGTAGACTTGTGTACTTCTGTGAAATATTGTTAATACTGATTGACAAGGCCTTGATACAGCCGTTTTAAATTATTAAGCTCTAGGAAAATTTTTTGATGGCTTGCTCTCCATCAGAGTTGATGATTCTTAGTGATTTATTCTTAGTATTAGTATCAGAAGACTGACTGAAAGTCTTCTCGCTCAGTTTCGATGGAACTTAGCGGATAGTCTCTGTTAGTCTAACCAATAGATGATTGTATTTAATAATCCATTACTAGATGACTGTATTTTATTTATAATACCCATTTGTCATTGGTTTATTGTATATAGAATCATCTGTCATTTTTTCTTCATTCGAAAATTTTTCGTTGCTGTCTTCTGGAGAACAAATTTCAATCGACGAAATCTTTTAATTGTTCATATTTTTTATTGCTTGAGTACATGGCAGTCGATGGAAAAAAAAAATCATAGTATCATTCTGATAAATTTATGAGTACGCCGAGGTAATAATAAAAAAAGAATATGACTTGATATTCATTTATTGCGTCTTCATGTTTTAAAAATTACTCTACCTACCCTTAATCTACGTTTACATTTAATCAACATATCAAATTTAATTAAAAATACTGACGTGCTCAACCAAATCACCGGTATCTCAGATACCATTTTTCAAAGGAGATTAAAATCTATAATTAATTGTCTCGTCATAAATTTAAATGGAAAGAAAGGAAATATTAACATTATTTACAATTTTTTTTGTCACTCAATTGTGGGATAATTTTGTCAGTTGAATTAATTACTCAATCAATCGAACACTCCAGGTAATGAATGATTGATAATTTAATCGTCATTTATTCTACGGAGTACGTTCGATTCTCGTTTCACATGTGAAGAATAATCGATATAAATATGAGTTTTGGTATTGAAGAAAATTCGATCACGAGATTCACTGAGAAAATTCTTCTCGTTAATTATGAAATAAGTATTTGTTGACGGGAAGTTCTTCAATAAACGTGGACGATGGAAGATGAACGATGAAAGGAGAAATAAGGGATAATGGGGCTTGTTTCACTCAAGTTCTCAAAAACACTCACCGATGACGCATTTTCACTGATCAGTTTGTATAAACGTTATACGTATAAACCTATCAGTCTATAATTTATTATAGAAATGGTTTTTACAGGACCTAGCCGCCTCGATGATGAGAATCGTCAATTGAGATCTGTAAGAAGATAAAAAGAATAAGTCAACTTAATATTTAATGTCCTTTCTCCACAATTTCTTGAAAAAAACTTTGAACGCAATGAAAAAAAAAAAAAACTATTGGAATTTTTCGCTGAAATTACCTCACAGAGTAATAACATTCATGATTAAACTCGCAGAATTTCTGCAGCTTTATTATAGCAAATGGCGATCCAATCAGGTTGAGTTGCCCCCCATTGTATTTGATTGACTTCGCCTTCAGCTGCAGTGTACGCGAGAATAGGATCTTCGATGGCCCTTGGCATCTGCTGGATGTCCCAAATAAGCGCCTGGTGATCGTCCCCAGCTGTGCAGATGTGGCAAGAGGAATGAGGTGCCCAGGCGATGCCATTAACACTCGCCCTGTCCCAAAAAAAAGTAGAACGCTTGAATAATTTCGATCTAAAAGCATTTTTCGAGGAAGGATTTTCTCCTTTTTTTGTTTACTCACCTGTGATTATTTAATCTGGCGACAGGAGTGCAGGGCACCCTGACATCCAAGATGATGACTTCACAGGCGTCCATGGCAACGGTGGCGAGATAATTTGGATCCTGTTTATTCCAGGCGAGTCTCAAAAGCGGTGTGTGCTGAGGATCTTCATAAATAATAGTGGAATGCTCCAGGTGACGAAGATCAAACATCCTGACAGAGCCATCAGCTCCAACAGATGCAAACATGTCACGTCCACCTCCAGCTCGACTGAACGCAATATCGTACACCTCCTTGTCATGGGCAATCAGCTGAGTCTTGACGTGTCCCGTCACCATGTTCACACGTCCCAGAACCTGACCAGTCTCCAATCCCCAGATAGTACAGGTTGTGTCGATGCTGGAGGTGCCTATTAAATTAGGATCCACCTCGTTCCAGTCGAAGGAAGTCAGAGGAGCACAGAAATCCGAATTTTTGTTGTTATTTAGAACGCATTCGAGACGAGTCTCTGGCTCTGCTGCTCGCCACACTCGAAGATAGTCTCCAGATGTGGCGAGAAGATCGGGAAATAGTCCTGGAATAATTGTTAGAAAAAAAAATTATATATTCTCAGGGTAGAGTCACTCCAATAGTTACCTTTACTGTCCGGAATCCACATGATCTTCGTGGTGGGATAAGGATGATCGAATGTGCTTTTGGCACTGAACTCAGACGTTTCCTCATCGAGTGAAACAATCTGCACTTTGTTGTTGTATTCCTCGACAAAACTTCCAAGGGCCAACCTAAACCTCTTATCAGGTCTCACGGACCAATTCATACTGTAAAGAGGCCATGGTGCCTCATATTTGTATATTTCCTTTCGTTTTGGAGGAACACTGTGAAGGGCCATGATTTATTTACAGTCGGCTTTCCTCAGCTCCAGAAAAATCCACAAAAATATTCACTGCAATTCTCTGTACCAAAACTATTCCACACCCTAAACCTATCCTATTTATCATTAATTACATACATTAATTAATTTATTGCACTAATCATACGACTCGGAGTGAATTACAGTCGAAATGATCAAACTAACCTCCGATTTTTAATATTTTTTCATGTTTGCGATAAATGCGATAAATTCACAGAGAAATCACCGGACGAAATCAATTCACTGAACGCAACCTCGAACGTCGGAGTTCCTAGGACCGCCATATTTGTCACTAGCCCAGCCCGCCAACTCATTGAATAACTTCCTCAGAATCTTGGACAGTCTCAACCCACACAATTCCCAGAAATGACACCTACCGAATAGATGGACGACATTGAAATAAACAAAGAGAATAAAATTTCACATAGCTTCTGCCAACATAACCATCAGTAAATGTAAGTCAACGTAAGCCAATAAATTCCCAATAATTCCCCCTTCCATCGAAATATTCCCAGAATGTCGTCCACCCCGACCCCCCATTACCTCATCCCCCACATCTAAACATCCATTTATCTCTCTTTATTTATCGTCACACTTGAATGGGAAGCGTTTACGTTATCCGACGGTGTAGACGAGGGCGCGTGTCTGTTCTGTGAAAAAAAAAAGCCAGAGACTCCCGCATGCAGGGGCTAAAAATCTAAAAACAGTGGAGATACTCTTACGCTTTAATTAGTGTAACAAGAAAAAGTCCCAAGAGAGAGTCGCAGTGTGCCTGGATACGACACCGGTAATTATTCCTTATGATCCAGTTTATTGTTCATTGGTTTGATTATTGTTGGTATTTTAGGTGCGGGAGAAGGTGATGAGCACGTTTTTTGTTTTGTTACATAAATTAGGTGAAGCTTGGGAGGGAGAAATTGATAAAAATACGAGGATTCATTGTACTAACACTGTAGTATTTACGGTGAACCGATAGGCGGCATTACACGGCGTCATTTTGTGGTCCTTTGGTGTATGTGGGTGTGTGTGTGTGTATGTGTTGCGTGCTGGGGGTTTTAGGACGTACTTTTTACTCTCCTGAAAAGTCGTAGGAAGAATTTCACGCACCCGTTGGACTGGATTTTTACAGGAATTTTTGGGTTTTAAATAGAAGGGAGGGTATTTTGGCACTTGTGCCACCCGTTATTTTCATCGGTTTTTCATCGATATTCAGGAGTTGTCAGCCGGTCTGCCGACGACGCTCTACCCCGGATATTACTCTCAGAAAACGAGTTGGGGAATTGAAAAAAAAAATAACAGGGCGTGGAAAGAGGCATTCAATATTCACTGTTAAATCATCGAGTCCCGGGGTTATAATGAATCGTGGGGCCATTGGGAAAACAGGCAAGGAGTCACAGTCGGTTGATGAGAAAAATTACCTTAAGAGGTTAAAGGGGAGCAATTCGAATCAGAAGATTCCTGAGACGAGCTCCAAACATTCCGAGATATCGAGGTTTGTCGGATAATTATTTCAATGGTTTAATTACTGTTCAGAGGAGCGGGGAAAAGTGTTTAGCGGCTTAGAGTTTTTCTTCTTCAGGAATTAAAATCGTGACCCTTCGACGATTGTTATTATTTTTCGAAGTAAAAACAAAAGCTCCGAAAGTTTTATGGCTGTGTAATAATCATTGGTGTGTTGTGAAAAATTTTCGTCGGAATTCGTTTTTATTTTTCTGTCTTTTCTGTTTTTTTTTT